AGCGTCAAACCGGCACTGGGGGGAGGGGGGGAAAACATTGCTACAGCCGGTGACTTGCGTTGGCTAGAACTGACTGTCCAGAGCATCCCGTCTTTATGAAACAATTGGTCATAATGTCAAGAGCCGGCAAGCATTGCTTCTGCAGAGTTTAGTTCAAAAGGCTCCGGATGCGAGGCAGTTGTTTTCTCCGGATCAACTTAGTATCAACTATCATCCTTCACTCGAGGCAATGCATTAATTCCGGCCAGATCCTTTAGTTTTAATGATTCTTCTGCCGTCGAGGGCATTAAACTGTTTCGTCCCGTTAGCGTTTCAATTTCGATTCCTGGATCATGCTTGTACTACCATCTTTCCGATCAGTCCATGTTGCATATCATAAATACCCCATTAGTCGTAGTTTCCACAAGTGGATACTATTCAAAGATTACTCTTTCAGTTTCAAACGAGGATGAGAAAATAATAACATTTTCTGGCAGTAAATTTATGTATAAAATCGCTATTCAGCCGGCTACCGATGCTCTACCTTTCGTGTCCATGGCATGAAGCCCATCAGATTAAATTTTTAACAAGTTCAAGTTCACGAAATTTCTGTACCTCGACTTTTTCATCTTCTAATCAGGCACTTCAACTAAGCTCTTTTCTGTTCGTACACGTTGACAGCAAATTCCCGTTCCTTGGTCGGTCACCATCTTCTTCCAAACTTTAGGTACCTAGAACTCTCTGATTAGCTCCCCAGCAATATGCTCATGATCTGAATGCATTACAGGATGGTAGGTTTCCCCAGAATTGATTCATTATTCATTCATACACTGATTCATTCTCTCATTCATTAAAGCTGTCGTTGTATTCATTCATTCTGAGGTATTCATCCATCTGTTATTACGCTTCTAGGAAAAGTCCGTTGTGGCATCACTACAACCATTCATTCATCGAGTTTTCAGCCTCAATGAGTTCGCTATAGAAAGCTTGTTGGAAAATACTTTGAGCTAATCAATCAATGCTATCGCCAGCGCAGCTTAAACAACTGGCGTACGGTTCTATAGCTAGCCAATAGACTTGAGACGCACAGAATGCAGCGGTAAGAACAATGAGACATTCACTAGTTGACTCAAACGTAAATCGGTCCGATTAAACAAACTTTAATCTAATCATAATAACCTTTTAAAAATGTACTTGAGCAACTGTCGTCTTTGGAGGCAGCTGTTATATAGGGACGATGAGTTTCCAGTCAGATGATCAATCCAGAAAAATACCGATCGGTTTTTCTATATTGCTTAATGGACCAGAAAAGGTTGTCGCTCAAAGAACGCATCAGTTAAGTGTAGATACATTAAAGGGTCAGTGGAACAGGGAAGTAAACCAGATTACAAGCGCATTAAGATAACCACTGCAAACAGTCGATTATGACGTACCATAGTCGGATATCTTTGTTTGCGCTATTCGAGGGACAAAGGAAGAAAACGGTGCTAGTGTTGACCTCAATTACAAAATCAGAGACGTCAAACCGGTTACTTGCTGGAAAGCAGTTAGTGTATTTATTTTGAACGACAAAGTTTTCACAATACGGACAGCGCACTCTCAACATGATTGAGGACCTTTGCAAAACGCCAAGCATCACGTGACGCATGATGTTTCATCGTCTTTTAGATGGACAGTAAAATACAAGTTTAAGGGCAACGTGTCTATTCCAGATTTCGATGATATTCGTGCCAGAGACTGTTGCAGGTTATTTCGAATTTTCTTGTCATGTGTTGATTTCAATACAACAAGCGTCGTCTAATCGTCCGTTCGAATTGTAGGGGGAAGGGAGTACGCCCAAAAAGTGTCCAACTCCGACTGGTCCAACTGTCAACGCTGCCAATACTTGTTCCACTGTTCAACTGTCCAACTATCCTGGTCTCGAAGGGAGACACTGCATATTCCTTTTTACATAACCTCTTGCATTATTACAGTTTTGTTATCTTCATATTAGGCAGAAAAGCACTAAGCGTCACAAAGCATGGTGGTGGGGCAGCCAAGTCGAACAGTTTCTTTTTCATGGAAATGAGCAGTTCGTTATCCATCGGCGATGTTTTGATGTGACTGAAGCTTGCCGACGACGCTTTCCTTCCTCTTCTGATTTCGCCGTTGATGTTGTTGTTGGAGTCCCTTAGGAGGCTGAGGCATGTTCAGATAACGACTTTATCCAGTTATTCGCCGTCAATGAACACGATAACCGCAGGGCATGGCTAATTTAGCTTTCATTTTGTCTTGGAGATGTTCATCGACAATTCGAAGAGAAGATGGACTCGGCATGTCATTTGTCTGAAGAATTACAGGTGGACATCCCGAGATATTAACTGGACCCCCCTTCATTTACAGAGGTACATTCACTCGTAAACAAACATGCTGGGATGACCCACAGATGAACCAATTTAGTCAACGGTGGAAAGAAAGGGCAACGTCGACTTGAGTCTTTGGCGCTACCACTGACAAAAGCAAGTCGGATAGAAGGAAACATCGTCTGCTGAGCACAAAAACTTATATGAATAAGACTTAATGAGTCAAAGGAGTCGCAATACAAAACTATAATATATCCTCGATTTAATATTCCATTTTGAGTGTGGATGCCCATAAACCAGCGTCTGTATGAAACCACTGCGGTTAGATACCAACTTATATATTTGAAGCACAAAGCAAACCTTGTTTACGTGCAAAACAATAAATTTCACATTCATATTCCATTTTTTATTGTTTTTAAATATCCGGAAATCCGTTAAATCCAAATATACAGTATCTCCTTTAATAAAAATGACATCGATAAGTCGATTCAGCGCAGAAAATCCAGGAGCGGTAGGTCGTCGTCCGCAACCGGAGCCTTGGAGAGTCTCGTGAATCTCGCGTACTTTGAATTGAGTACCTCCAGTTGCAGGGAGCATTTGCTTAAAGTTTCAGTGTGATTTTGTTCCTCGTGAAAGTGCTAACTTAATTATTAAATAACAATTACGATGAATGATAATAGTCTGTGAGAAAAAATGTTCTAGACGGTGCTTCTGCTGAACTGTTGATAGACTGTCGCTCAAGTGGAGAGGGATGTTCCACGAGCAAACGTTTAGTCGCAGACTGACTAGAAGCAGTCCCCGTTTTCTCCATGAAAGATATGGAAATGCTACGTCGAGAAAAGAAATATGACCTTTTCCCAATATCAATCAAAAGTGCCATCTGTGACGGATCAAACGTCATAAATCTTGGTTACTCCATTGTTTGAGCTCTGTCGCCTGAGATGACGATGATATAGTGACAAAAACATCAGTGATTCATGGCTAAAAAGGCGTAAGACCTTTCTAAACCAAATCATCGAAAGTTTCAAATACAGGCACAATTTGTCAGACGCTCAGAGCTGAAACCATTTCTAAGTTCAGGCGTATGCACTCTTCA